GCAAAATCAGTATAGCAATAAATACTATAAATATCTTTCTAACGAAGTGTCACTTGCTATATGTTTCTATTTATTAATATTGGTTCCAGTCCTCTTGTAATGTCATTGGTGACTTGTACGTCATCTGTTACCACTAATTGAGCAGCTTACAATAGTAAATTTTCATCAGTCTAAGTCAAAACGGGAAAGGGACTTTTGAAGGGGACTTTTAAGAAGTACTGTACATACCATTATTCAAATATTGACATATAAAAAGCATTCTGAATTATTTGTTCATTTAGATACTTTTTCTGACATTTTTCATTCTTTAACTTATTTATCTTAAGTTACATTATCTTTAAGAGAATAAATTTTTGATCAAAGTCCTTCAAAATTAATAGTAATCGTTCTTTTGAATTTACCTTTTAATAAACCTATTACTTTTTTGTTAACTAATGAAATATTATACATGTTATTTGGATTATAATCACTATGCTAAATATTTACTTATATAACCTCTTTATAAACGTCATTACAAGTTATCTTATACAAAAGACTACTGATATTTGAGTACAAGATTTAGCTTCAATAAAAGGATTTTTTTACGAATGACAGTTGTACTTTTCAATATTAGGCATTCCAACGACCTGTCAAACAATAGGTGCCAGTGGGAAATTCTTGTATATCTAAGGGGGTAGCGACATAGTCTTGCAACTTGGACACTATTTTTATTCGAAGTAGTAGTCGCCAAGCCTGCCAATTTATGAAGAAATGTATAGGTGGTTTTTTTAAATATTATTTGTAATGTGTTTGACATAAAATATTTAAATGTAATCCATTATTCATGATTTTACGTAAAGTAGATAGAATACACAGTATGTCGCCACCCTTAGATATACCAAACCTTCCCACTGGCAATTCATTTGTTTGGAATGCCTAATATCTTAAATTATTTTTCCAACATGATGCGCTTTGTTTAAAACAGTTTTGATTTTTGTAACTCAATTGCCTTTAAATTATCATTGAAAGTAGTTCTAGTACGCAATTGCACTATGCGTATTATTAACCTGTGACGTCTAATATTTTCCACAGTTTGGCCAAAAAGCGCATTATTGATTAAATTTAAGTTTTATTTTTGAAATTCAGTTACAGCCTGAGTTCTTAAACAAGCATTCAGTTCGATGTAAGGTTGCATCCCAGTGGATTGTTTAAATATTGGTCGGCCATCAATTTTCTTTAAAGTTAAACCATTAGCTATTGCTTATTTTAAGTTACAATAATCAATAATATTATTTTTATCATATAAGGTGAAGTTAAATTATTATGTAAATCATGAAAGTTTTGTTTATGAAATACGAATTCTAACTTCCCCTAATTGCACTTGTGATAATACCTCCGTGGGAGATATAAATTATTTAATATTTATATGTGCAATGAACGAACAAAATAAAAATATACTTCCAAATAAAACAACTGGGAATAAAAACGTTTTAAAACACTTGATTAAATAAAAAAACCTGACATAAACATTTAAAGTAATTTTAATGACTAAAGAACATTACCATTTCTATCTATAGTAAACTACCATAGTTTGACGGATATCAAAACATTAAACATTCTGTGACAAATGGAGTCATTTCGATGCCAACGCTAACCCTAAAAAAAATGAAAGTTTTAAAGATATTCTAGATTTACTTGCAGTATATATCATAGAGGGTAATTATCTGGTATCAATAATAGTGCCAGCCCACTCAAATATACCAAATTCAACAAAAATCCTAAATGTTCTATTAAAATTCCTCTAAATTCTATTAAATCTCTTTTGTATGTATATGGGAAAATGTGTTATATATATACATCAGAATTGTCCTAAATTTAACTAAATTTGTATAATTGAATAGATATTTTAAATACCTTTGCAACTAGGTATCACTTAAAGTTATTGGTCTCAGTGGCCTTTTAAATATTATATATTTATATATATATATATATATATATATATATATATATATATATATAGGCTTACAACCGTTTATTTTCACAACCCAAGTATAACTTTTTAGTGGTTTTATATAATTTGTTAACCGAAATATAATTTTTTTATTGTTGCGGAATACTCGAAAAAATCTTACAATGTTGAGTTAATCCAAAGTAAACTGTAAGTTATTACCCGACAATTTAAAAAAAACCCACTTAAGGGGGAGCTAAATTGTCTACTTTATCAAAAGAAAACGTTCTCGCACTTTTGAAATATGAATTAGGGAAAGGCACGTACACTGCAGATAGAAACGTAGTCTGGACAGGTGGGAATCATTTACATATTCCGAGAAGCAGGATGCTGAAAATGAATACCAAGCGACTTTTTTATAAACGGCAATGACGGCTCTTAAAGTCATTGGACTCGGAACTTCTTTCTTCAAGTTCTTTTTTATTTAGCTATAAATCTCTTAAATATAGTGTGCCTGAATTCTGTCTGAGAAAATAAGGTAATTTTTACTTCTAAACACTGCAATGAGATAAAAAAATGAATAGTCCTAATTAAACCATACATTTTGAGGAAATTTATATATTTTAATTATTCTTACACCATATTTTAAAACTTTTAGTATTTAATATTCTTGGAAAGTATTGTCTGATAAATATGATCATCCTTAGGCATATACTATATGCAGATATTGTATTAGATAATTGAATCATTAGTAGAGAAACATTTCCAGTAAATAAATATCAGAATTACAATGTCTTTTGGACATTGAAACTCGAGAAACAGACCTGTAAACCGTTCAAAACGCAACCGTGAAGGATCGTTTGTTTTATTTTTATTATAACGTTTTGCCTGCGATGACTTTTGCGGTGTGCGAATTCTCCGGAGGCCACAAAAAGAGCATCATTTCTTCAACAAATTTTATTTAAGGCTCTATCGTTTTGTTCCTTTCAAAGTTATATATAAATTCGTGAGAGGAATTTATCGTTCTAGACGTTAGACATTTGTGATGTTACAACTTTTATTGTCGGGCATAATAGAATAACGGAAAATGATTTTGCACTTTATACATTTTGATATATCTTATGGAAACTATGAAACATTTTTCTACTTACTTTTTCTTTTATAAATTGTTTAGATGTATCCTAATAGTTCTACAGCTATTCTGTCTTATATTACACCAAACTATTAGAAATATGTAACACCAAAATGGTCGACTGCATCAGGAAAATACATACAAGAGCCAAAAGGGTACTACCAGCGGTAGTCATTTGGTTATCATTTACAAAATAGGGGCATAAACTGTCATTATTTCTTCGATTTGACTGGGACAAACGACACAAATGATGGTCAGTTAGCTTTGGAGTGAGGGTAGCCATATGTGAGTAAGTGTAAGGGTTAAAGAAAAGGTCCTTTATTTCTTACAAGTCAATTTAATTGGCGACCGGTTTCGAAGCTGTCACTTCATCATCAGGCACACCTAAATGGAATGTCAAGGAGTCAGTTGTAATAAAAAAACAATTATAAAAGCATGAACGGACTTTAACATATATGTAACATATATGTAACATATATGTTAAATGTAATAAAGAACCTTTTCTTTAACCCTTACACTTAATGATGGTCAATTAGCTGTCGTATACAGCTGTAGGGGTAAAAATAAAAGAGGATACAAGTAACAATAAAAATCTCATTTAATGACTCACAACACTTTTTCTATATACCAAACCAGCTTTAAAAACTCAAGGTTTCCGATTTCCACATTTTTTGAATATGTAGTGGGGTTCTATATGCTAATGAAAGAATTTATGACAAAAAAACCTAAAGGACAGAGTCTTCAAAGGATTTGCGGTCGAATTCTGTACTGCGGGACTGCCTAAACAAAATGAATTCTCGATCCGTTGAATTTGTTATTTGCTACCCACGGAGTTCTTAGCGTAGAATCATTTCTATCTGGATACGGAAACGAGGAAAGATCAATATTTTAGTACAAAAAAAAAATAATATAGTTATATTATTTATTTTATTTAAATAGTAATTACAAAGCAATAAGTAATTATGCAATTATTTATTTTTTAAATTTTTTAAAAACGAGTTTTTATTTGTATTTATTAATTCTATATACCTAAATACTGATTTCTAGGTCCATGTTTTCAAAAAAAGATAAATTTCATTTTTTAAAACACGGCGAAAATTTATAATCACCTATAATTAAATGATCGATTTTTGCTTTAGCTGAAAACAAAATATCTAGATTTATAAAAATGATGTATATAAATTAATACCATTAATAAAGGAATAGACAGAGCTTGGGACTTTGGATTCAGCGATTAAAAATGCATTAAAAATTATAGCAAACATCTTTACAACATAAAGAACACTAGAACCGTTTCTTTAAAGGCAAGGAAATATTTAACAGGTGATATCATACAAAAATTGGTAAAGGCAGCACAATTCGTGGTTTACACTAATAAATATGGAAGCGTTGCACAACTTAAACAAGATTTAAGAAATAGTGTAACACGTGTTTTTGGTAATCATGTTAAGTGCCGAAAAGAAATTTGCGATGTTAACAACGATATTAACAAACATTCCGAATTCACATCAACAACGGAGTACGGATCTAATATTGCTAAGGTAGACATCAGTGATAAATGTCTTAAAGAAGAAGTTAATAAATTAATTGACCAACTAAAGGTATTAACATGAATATTACGTTTCTACTTTTTACATGATTTTGTATTTAAATATTTTTAGGTGACGAGTAAGCAACAACAAGTATCAAAATAAACTATAGGACAGTTCAGCAACCCAAGATTCTTGAAGGAAAGAAGATTTCGGCTAACGGCTGCTCATTTTGGGGAAGTTGCCAAAAGAAGGGCCCGTACTCCATGCAATTGTTTGGTAAAAAAAATTTTGACACAAGGAATAAAACTACCCCAGCAATTGAGTACGGCATACAAAAAGAAGGTGTGCCATGAACAAATTTCAAAGAGAAACTGGCATCATTGTTAGTGGTAATGTTAAACGCACGAAAATGCTACGTGAGAGGTATTTGTTGTTCATGTCAGAATATTCACCAGAATTTTATAATGAAAACTATAAAACTGACAAATTAAAACAAAAACTAATAAATCATTTTGGCAACCGTATATCATTCTGGCAGCTAAACTACAGAATTGAACTGGTTAACTCGTCATGGATAAAACCAGGAGAAGCTATAGAAACTGCATTTGAAGCTGCGTCATCAGAGATACGAAGAATACAAGAAGCTGCAATGATTCTGAGACGACATATCCAGCAGGCATATGAAAATTCACCGAAAATGCCTTGGCCTCCTTCAGCCGAATTTCTGGCATCAGAAGAACTGAAGTCTCCTAATTTACTATGTGCATTTTTGTCGCATTTAACAAGCGGAATACCATTGCACTCTGTGAATGACAAAGTTGAGCATACAGTAAATTAATTTGCACAAAATTTATGATATAGTACTACTAATGGTAAATGGAAAATGGCGAAGCATTTGAGTTTAGGAATGACTACGAAATAACTTACAGTGCAGAACTGATAACTTTGATAAACTGATATGGTCATTGTCTTTCCTACTCACACTTGCTTGAGTTAGAGACTGCTATGTGCAATAAAATAAAGGACAATGATGAACTTCTCCCTTCAAATATAACTACAACATTGTGTTGGAACAACTTCGACTTAAATGAAGAAACACCATCGGGTAGTGGGACAACTCATTCAACACATGGCACTAAAAAAGTATTTGGCTATTTTACCCCAAAAACTTCCTTGGCAGTTGGTTCTTCCTCTAATTAACATATTTTTAATAAATAAATAAAAAAAGCTGAATTAAAATTGAAATTTTGTCACCAATTTAAACATTTAAACTCCTCTAACGCAAAACGTATAAATATGAGTTACTGCAGTTTTCGTTGCACCCGTCGAATTAATAATATTAATTTTAATAAATTGACTATTACCATAATAATTGAATATTACCATAATTTATAGTAAATAAAGATGCTAAATCGTCAAAAAATAACATGTTCATCAGCAACAAAAATCTTCTAAAAACATTTTTCGTAATAGCAATTCTGATATCAGGTAAAAAATCGACATGGATAATAGATGGCATATTTTTTTATTCTACGCTCTTATCAAACCTCGGTTATGCAACAATGGAAAGGTTTTCAGTATCTATATGTAACTGCCAATACGGCCATAGCAGCCAATATATTCGCTCAATATCTCCTACGTAGCGTAGGTCGTTTCGGATCCCTTATTCCTTCCATTTTTACTGACCTATTGAATTTAAATCATTCGAACATTCTTTTAGTTAGAACAAATCGTACCCTTTGACAATATTTTTCGTCGTAATGCAACATATCTGTGGAAGGAATTTGTGTTTTCTTCGGAAGTATGTCAGTATAAAATTTTCTGAAAGAAATACGTAAAGCTACAACACACATGAATTCTTTTCTCTCTTTGTGGACCACTTCAGATATTATTCTTATAGAAATGTTCATATTACATGAATGTGATCGATCACTGAAGTTGATGACCAATATGTGAGTTTTTTTGAGCTTGAATGAGAATATAAAATAACTTGTGCTTGTGCAGAAAATGTTGTCCATTTTTATTCTCTTGCAATTATTATTATAAATGCCTTGACCATGCCAGGCTAGGCATAAGTTATACCTTTTAAAAGAAATTAAGTATATGGAAGAAATTGATTAAAAATACACTGAAATGTATAAAACTTTTACAAAAAAGCAAGATTTAAAATAATTATGAATTATCCATATAAATGTAAGTAGACAGAATAACGTATGGTTAACAAAATATGATATTTTCAAATGTTCCTGGTCTATTTGTCGACCAAGAAAATTATATTACATAAAAACTAGATAGGCATTTTCGATGTAAAGAAAAAACAAAAAAGTAAGTACATATAATATGCTTCCAGATCTGAAAATATACTCATGATTTTTCTTTCTAAAACTTTTAGCAATATTCAATTTTTATAAAATATTTTCCATCTGAGACCACCTTTGAGTGATAAAATATCAAAAAATGACATCGACTTGAGTTGATCCCTGGTGTACCCAAGCGAGTGTAAGGTTCAAACTAAGTTTTTCGTTATATATTTATTGGAAAAGCTGAGACAGCCTTATAAACAAGGTATTATATGAAAGTTTGCGTTAAAATTGTGTTACCACATAGCTGTTTGGTTTTATATATTTTAGGAAATAGATTTCGCCGTTTTCTATAAAAAGTTCAAACAATTTTCTAAGGGTGGTCCAACCAAAACGCACGATGTTAATTGTAAATAAAACAAAAATTTTTCAGAGAATTATCTTAATATCGTTTATTATGATAGAAGGATATTGTCACGCTAAACAAATATCACCCTATATATCAAGGCGACATAGGTTTGTCGCATAATAGTGAGGGAGAGGGGTTAGGAAGAAGACTGAATGAAACAGTTGATAACCTATCTCACCCTGAAATAGAAAAGTAAACTGTGTAAGATAAAGTGAATACACAGAGAATATGTTTGTGGAGTGAAAAATAAAAAGATATACCTATATTGTTTAATGAGTTATTGGTAAAACGAAGTGTACGAGTAGAGACACATGTGTGATGCTTATTGTTATTTTTGTAAAATGATTGGTATAAATAAATAACATAGAGACAAATAAGGGCTCGCGACATAGGTTTGTCGCATTACAGTGTGGGAGAGGGGTTAGGAAAAAGACTGAATGAAACAGTTGATAACCTATCTCACCCTGAAAAGTAAACTGTGTGAGAAAAAGTGAATACACAGGGAATATGTTTATAGAGAGAAAAATTAAAAGATATATAATGTGTAATGAGTTAAAATGAAGTGTACGAGTAGAGACACATGTGTAATGCTTATTTATTATTTTTTTAATTAAAAAACAAAAAATGATATCAAATTGAACATTTTTAGAAAAATTAAGCTCTATAAGGGAAATAATTTCGTTGATTTTGAAAAAAAATCTGATTAAAAATGGGGGGTTTGAGGGGAGTTGAAATAAAAAAAATCATAAATCAGAAACGAAAAACGATATCAACATGAAATATTTTTAGTAAAAACCATGCTTTAAATGGGATTAAGCCTATTTATTCTAAAAATAATTTAAATAAAAATTGGGGGTTAGAAGGGGTTGAAATATTTAAAAAACGAACAATATTATCAACTTGAAATTTTTGGCAAAATCTGATCTATAAATAGAATGGCTTGAAATAAAAAAAAGGAATCAAAAATAAAAAGCGATATTAACATTAAGTTTTAGTAAAATCAAGCTCTATAATAGAATAAATAAATATACAAATTGATAAATAAATTGGAAAATAAGGGGGTTGAAATTTTGAAAAAAATTCTAACTTCGGAACAAAAAAAGATATCAACGTGAAATTTTAAGCAAAAATTAATTCTTACAAGAGAACAAAGTCTTATTAAACATGAGGGATTAAAAGGTGATTAAATAGTAAAAAAAAAAATAAAAAATAAAAATGGAAAGCGATATTAACACGAAATAATTTTAGTAAAAATCAAACTCTATAATGAGATGAAGTCTAAAAATAATTTAAATAAAAATAGGGAGTTAGAGAGGGTTGAAATATTAAAAAGCATCCTTATTAAAAAAGGAAAACTGGAAAACTTTTAGCAAAATCAATCTCTATAAGTGCAAGAATCACTTTGATTTCGAAAAAAATTTGAATAAAAATGGGGGCTTTAGGAGGGGTTAAAATTAAAAAAAAATCATAAATAAAAAACTAAAAGCAATATCCACATGAAATATGTTTAGTAAAAATCAAGCTCTCTAATGAGATAAAGCCTTTTTAATCTAAAAATATTTTGAATAAAAATGGGGTGATTAAGGACAGTTAAAATATTTATAAAAAAAATCCCAACTCAAAAAGGAACAATAATATCAACTCAAAATTTTTTGGCAGAAATCATATAATCATATAATCATGACAAAGCCTATTAATTTATAAAAACTATAAATAAAATGGGAGTAAAGGGGGGTCGAGATAAAAAAAAAACAGAAATCCAAAATCAAAAACGATATCAACTTGAAATGTTTAGTAAAAATCAAGGAAATGAATAAATAAATAAACAAATAAATGAACAAAAATTTTGAGATAAGGGGTTGAAAAGATATCAAAGTTAAACCTTCAGGAAAAATCAAGTTTTATAAGAGGAGGAAGACTATTGATTCTAAAAAAAAATCTGATTAAAAATGGGGACTAAGGGTGCCTGTTAAACTGTGAAGAGTATAATATAGAATGCCAAGCATTATAAATCTTTATTCTAGTTTATACATGCGGTTGAGAAATGGTATTTTTAAAGAAAATTATTATAACAAAAATTATTTGAAAATTATCCACTTCTGCAATACCTTAATTTTAAATAGGTAATGTACCATGTATGGCACATCAATAAAAAGGTAATTTAATTGGGGATTCAGAAATATTGCGTTACTTAAATTTTATCATCTTCTAGCGGAATAAAAAGAACTACGTATTATAAAGTGAGACACCTTATTTGAAAGCAAATTTAATTATAAATGCATCACATAATATTAATATAAATATCCTCCATATTACGAGGATATATCAGTATATAACGAGACTGGTGCTATAACTTCTTTCAGAGGTAACATTTTATAACCCAAAAAATGAGACATGAAAGCCTTATATTTAATGTACTACCCCGCAAGTAGGCTTTGATTTAACTTTTGACATTTGTTACAAATTAATTATTGAATTGTCAGTGTTTTGCGAACCCATCGAAAAATGAAAGTGGAGCAAAGATACGCTATAAAATTTTGTGTTCGATTGGGTAAAACACCAACTGAAACTTTTGAAATGATTAAAGGTGCATATCTAGATAATAGTTTATCACGATGTAGAGTGTTTGAGTGGCATAAAAAGTTTAAAGACGGTTGTGAATCAGTTGAAGATAAACCTCGTCCCGGTCGACCACAAACTGCGAGAAATGACACAAAAATTGCAGAAATTAACGACTTGATACAAAGTGATCGCCGGATTGGCATAAAACGAATTTCTGACAATGTTAATTTGTCTTACGGTACCACTCAAAAAATTATTCATGAAGATTTAGAGTACCGGAAGATCGCGGCAAGATGGATTCCAAAAGTGATGACTGATGAACAAAAAGCGAATCGAGTGACAATTTGTCAGCAGTGGAAAAGGCAATTGCAACGTAGCCCATAGTTTTTAAATAATGTGGTTACATGTGACTAAAGTTGGTTTTATCATTACGATCCTGAATTGAAGTCTCAAAGTATGCAATGGAAGCATAAAGGCAGCCCAAGACCGCAGGAGGCCAAAACTGCTAAAAGCGCTGGTAAAGTGATGCACCTGATTTTTTTTGATAAATTTGGCGTTATTTACGAT